ATGGACAAAAACGGATAGCAATAGGTCACCTGAGTTTACTCAGGTGACCTAAAAAGTAGGTCAAGGTGACCTACTGTTAAAATGACGTTGTTTGAAGACCCAAGATGCATCAACTGAAAAAGTTTGATGATATATCATAGGCCCTAAAGTGTCCAAAATATGCCTCCAAATCAATTTGAAAGCGAAAGCCCGTAAATTTTAAAAGTAGGTCACCGTGACCTACTTTTGTGTTAACATGATGTGAAGTCCTAAGATGCATCAGCTTACAAGATTTCATGATCCTATAGTCTTTATAATAAGCAAAATAATAATTTTTATTAATTGTAAATTTTGGTCAACTTTGAAGTGACCTTGAGACCACTCCCTTTGCCCCAGGGTCATGCCTTGAACAATTTTTAATCTTCAACATATCCTGACCCTTGTATGCAAGTTCGGTGAAAATCTGCCTGGTGGTTCTGGAGAAGATTTTTTAGCAACCAGTACTTTTGGTATTATTTTCCGTATTATCTCCCCTTGTTTTAGGGTCTCACCCCTAGTTTTAGTATAATGGTAGCCCTTGGGCCGAGGATCCCCCCTGACAAATTTGACAATTATTGGCCAAGGGGTTCTCGAGTTATGGCCCATATTCTAAAAAGTTAATGCACACCGCACAAATGGCCATAGCATTAGCTCTTTGAGCCTTTGGCTCAGAAGAGCTAAAAATCTGTTTGAGAACCACTGGGTAAGGAAAGATGAAAGTCATATGGAAACATCCTCAGGCCATTTACTGGTATACAGATTAAAATTTGTTGAAGTCATGACAGACCAGACATACCAGACTATTGAAATTCTGTTATACACAGTGACACTCATTGATGGTAATGCATAATAGTGACATTAGGCCAAAACAAATGATCAATAGTTTCTCAGGCCAAAACAATCAAAATTCAATGCGGCAGGCAGGCAGGTTTTTTTTTTTTTTTTGAAGCAGGTTTTACACCTTTTTTTAAGCCATTTGTTTAATAAAATGATATCTACCAAATCTTAATTTTTGTTCTCTGGAATTGGTTAAAATATGCATTCAACTTTAAATAATGTTACTCCAAACATTTATTTAAGAGTTAATTCATAAAATACTGAAAATTTAGAAGAAATGTATTGTTTTTCTAATAAAAACGTCTATCTTAGCATTAATGAAAAGGGGAATAACTCAATTTTCTTTTTCAAATTGGAAAAATAGAAAATTGAGTTATTTCCCTTTTCAATATGTCAATAAAATTGATCAATGCAGCCGTTTTTGAACTGATGCGGCGGTGCCTGAGAAACTATTGATTAATTTTTTTTTGGCCTTAATATATCCCTCTTAATAGACGATTTTCACATTCTTAAGAGTTATCTCCCGTTGTCGGCGTAACGCTCATCTTTCTCACTTTGTCCCTTGTAAGTTACCTGAAAATATTTTTTAACTACAAATGCTATCAGACAATTTTGATCTGTACCTCAGTATTGTCAGAATATGGGGCATCAAGTAAAATACAACGAACATATTCATACAGATTTTACTTCTAATATATTGCCCCAAAAAGTTGGTAGTGTTATAGAGGGAAAACAGTGTCATATGCTGGTTGACCCCAGAGTGACCCAAAGGGGAATAACTTTTGTAAATGTGAAAGTTGGCTATTCCTTGTGAATTAAGGGATGACATATGCTCATTTGAGCCTCTGGTATACATGGTATACAGAGTTCAGAAAAAAATTCCAATTTACAACAAGAAACCTCAAATTTTAATGTGCATAACATAAATATAATTTTGAACAGAATTATAAATTTAAAAAAAAACAAGCTTATTGTATTCATCATAAATAACACTTAACATAATCATGATAATCAGTCCAGTCCAATACGAAAAATCGTAATATTACAGAATATTGTAATATTATTCTTATATTACTATTTTTCGTAATATAGTTAAATTACGAAAACTCGTAATATAGCATGTTGTGAGAGACTATATTACGAGTTTTCGTAATGTTAGACAAAATTAAGCATTGAAAGAAACTGAATGATGTTAAGGAAAGTATGACGTCAGAAATACATTATGCCCCAATGGTACTAGTATCACGTGGTCATTTTGGTCAGTGACGTCTATCGAAAAGTATGAAAATGCAAGAAGAAAGCAACAATAGTAATGGGTGAGTGAAAATTTTGTATTATTATTCTTATATAAGAATTTTCCCAGGGATGGGAACAATTTTCCATAAAACTTCAATGTATCCTAAAACTTGTCATAGTGTTCTATAATCCCCGAATTCCCTATATTTTTCCCGAAGTCTACCCTAGAAAATCAGACCCTCATCTCCAACAACGAGATGTTACGGGATATAACTTGTACAACTTTCACTAGGCTCTGACTCTGCATGCACTTGGATCAAATGCATCAAAACAAAGAAAATGCATGCATATCCACGATGATTTGATGAAACCAGAGATGTATAATCTCTCATGAAACATAACAAGCAGGTTGCATCAGAAAAAAGGGGAGTAACTCTTAGAAGAGTTAGAAATTGCTTATATTACGAATTTTAGTAATATTACGATTTTTCGTATTGGACTGGACTGATAATATAACACATATACATGTAACATAATAAATAACACTTAACATAATATAACATATAGGCCTATCACATGATATTTTGAAATATGTTCATGTATTAATCACATCTGAGATTTTTTTTTCGACCCCTCGAGTTTTTATGTTCTATAGCAAAGTGAGTCTTTTCATGGGTTTTCAAATTAGCCAGCTGATTAAATGCTTTTCCGCAGTCCTGACATACAAATGGTTTAATCCCAGTATGGATCTGTTCATGTCTTTTCAAATGCGAACCTTGCAGAAATGCTTTGCCACATGTTTCGCATACAAATGGACGTTCTCCACTGTGAATTCTCTTGTGCGCCGTAAAGTATGAGCTATTATTAAATTCCTTTCCACAGATATCACAAAGATGAAGCTTGATGCCAGTATGTGTTGCCATGTGCTCATCCAAATTCCGCTTGCGTATAAATCTCATTTCACACTCTCGGCATTCGTATGGCTTATCACCTGTGTGAATTCTTTGATGTCTTTTAAGTCCATCACTTGCCCTAAATTTCTTCAAACATACTTCACACTGAAAGTTCTTTACACCACTATGAGTTAACAAATGAAGATTCAATGATTGTTTTGAAGATAAAACTCTCGCGCATATCTCACAAGCATACACCATCATACATTTTGCTTTCTGGTGCTGTTTTAAATGCATTTCGGTCATAAAGGTCTTGCTACACATGTCACAACCCCAAGGTCTGCTTGTTGTGTGAGTTACAACATGCAATTTCCGACCCGATTCTCGAGCGAATCCTTTTCCACATATATCACATTTATATGGCTTGAAATCCTTGTGTTTCTTTAAATGATGGTTATGCTCCACCAGGCGAGAGAACGACTCTCCGCAGACAAGGCACTTGAAAGGTTTATCCATAGAGTCAGCATGATGCCTTCGGAAATGAGTTCGCAGGGTTGAGGTTTTCACATACTCCTTTGGACAGAGATGACATTTGTGAAGGTTTGGATGCTTTTCACCGGTATGGACCCTTAAATGATTCTTCAAACTGTAGGATAAGCTGAAAGATTTATCACAAAGTGCGCAAATAAATGGCTTTTCTTTCCGGGGATTGTAGTCGCTATCCTTCGAGTCTTCAGACTCTTCATCATTTTCATCATTTCCATACAGAGAATTATCAGTATTGTAACTCTCTCTTGAATCTTCATTTTCAGACTCTGTTTCACTAATTTGATCATGATCGTCAAGTTTAGAAGTCATATTGATAATTCAATAGTTTTTTTGATCACAGATGCTTAAAAATTCATGGATTGGGGTTGAAGTTCTGAAAATATAAAATAATACTAGTAAGGCGAAAAAAATATTTACAGAAAATTGACAGACATCTGAATATTCCATTCCAATGTCTATAGTTTTATCCTATTTCTATAACCCCAAGCGGAAACATACGTATCTCATGATCATCCACAATATTATTTTGTATCGAGGTAATTTTCAAGGAATAAATTGAGTGCTATTCAATAAAGAAGCTCAACCAGAGACATCTGAAATGATTTGATTAATACACTGTACAATTCTCAGTTAACCGGGAACTTTCAATAAGGCTTGGCATTCTTGGCGCTACGTAAATAAGGCGTCTGTCAAATATAGCAAATAGATTCTCATTGGTTAAGAAATTAATAACATCAGGAACTTTAAATTGTTCTTCACAATGATGAGAAGACTTAAGCCCCACCTCTTTGTCGTATGAGACCTTTTTATTGGATATTTGCTACACTTGTAGACATTCGCCGAATTTCTAATTCTATCCTATGTACATGATGTATAATATTATTAATAAACAGTGAATGAAAGCTGTGTAAATTTCAGACACTAATTGTGTAACATCGAGAATGCCACCCTTTACTGCAAGTCCAAGGTTAACTGAGAATTGTACTAATTGACAAGAAAAAAAGCCTGGGTAGCCTTTCCACTTCTCTAGTATGAAAACTCATTTAAAAGAGAATTTGTTTTACAGATGAAAACTATAATTAACAGGTCTTTAAGTTTAGCCAGTTAACTACAGTTTAATATTCGTATACCATAGATTAAATACCTGGCTTATCCATTGTTTAACAATATTAATATCATTTTTGTTACGAATTTTGGCATGCAAAAAAAGGAATGAAAAATCCTACAGGGTATTAAACAATTGAAATAAATTATAATCAGTACACTCTAACATCTACGGTTTTACTAGGAAACTATGTTTTGTTTTTGCTTGAATTTTCATACATCTTCTTGATTCCAAGGGTTAAATAACTTGATTTTTCACGTGTATATCGATACACATGTCTCTTCTTACCTGCCATCAACAAACAACCAAACGACCGACTTGGAGGATCCCGAACCCGATGTGGATGGACAAGTGGTAAAACTAGTTATGTACGTAACTTTCTGCGAAATAATAATTATATGGAGATAACGAACATACAGTTTAATTTCAAGTTCAAAATTTCCAATAAACAATACAAAAACGAGCAGAGCAATGCCAATCAGGGACCTCAAAAACATCAGAGGTGGGATCCAGTGCTATGAAGGAGTAAGCATCCCCTGCTGACCCGCCATAAGAATTCAACCCACCTCATAGGCGTCGGAACCGGGGGGGGGGCGTAGCCCCCCCCCCCCCACTTATTTTTTCCAAATATATACTTGGTATAGACATTGAACATTTCCCCACTTTCCACAGACAAGTCGCATTATAGGTTAAAAATGAGGAAAGTGGTGGTATTTGGAAAAAAAAAATGGTACTGAAGTTCGACACCCCCCCCCCCCCGGAATAGGATTTTCGTGTTTGGGAAAAGGACATTTCCCTTTGTTTTTGGTTTTTTTTTTGTTTTTTTGGTTTTTTCTTTTTTGGTTTCGTTTTTTGTTTGTTTGTTTGTCATGTTTTTTTTTTTTTTTTTTTTTGCTTGTCAGGTTTTTGTTTAATTTTTTTTTTACATTTAGCCCCTCCGTTCAATTTGCTTCCGACGCCAATGCGTCTTACATGTATATACACGTATACTGAGTATTATTTGATGAGAGTTAATAGAAAAACCTAGGTTTAAAGTTACCTATGGGTAATAATTGTGCCCCATTACTAGCATACCTACATGATTTTTGTAGTCATATAAAGGAAATGTTATTCAAAAAACTTCTTAGTTCATGAGAAGCTTAGAAGAAAACAATTGAAATTCAATATATCAATCAGCATATTATCAATAAACAATAGTCATTGCCTTTCATATATCAATTCTATATATCCATATAAAGCTAGCTTGAAATAAAAGATATATCACAAAGTTTGAAACATATTTCATATTTGGATTTTTTAAACCAGAAAAAGGCGTTAATGATTACAGTTACCTAACAACAGAGCTCAAGTTTATGATAATCGTAATCATAATAATTTCTTCAACTTTCAATTGTTAGATCCACTAACTTATGTAGCAATATACCCTTATCACCTGCATATGGGATTGACAGGTACGTCTCTCAGTTGATTCGATACATTTAATAGACCAATGTTCTGCGTATTAACAATTCCTAAAACGAGGCAAGCGTTTGACAAACAAGTTGATAATGTAAGGATATGAACAATCTTGTTCAACGTCATAATATCGCAAGTTTTATGGTCGATACAGTGATCTTGTCAGCAAACACAACCTTTATCATTTATGCTGACGGATACGTTATATATCTACAAATAATGTTAGGTCATAATCTCAGTAAACATGCTGGCCTGTCAAAAGAATTTTCCCGATCATGACAAGAAGCGCACACCGGTCGACAGGGCATGCTCACTCCTCCATGGCATCTGATCCCACCTCTGATGTCTTGGAGGTCCGTGTTTCCTCTGCTCCCGATTTTATTGTTGAAATTGGTGTACCTTGAGCTTTAAAATTGTTCGTTGTCTTCACATTTTCATACAGTCTTTGTAGACCACGTCGATCTTTCCAACGACTGACGTGTTTGAATTGTAATTGGCATTAATTATGCTCCTTTAATTTATTAGCCGAGTTTTGTTTTTAAATTTCTATAAAGCAGATTTCATCAAAAAACTTCTACATAAGAGGAAAAAATACACCTGCTTTGGCCTTCAACTCGACAGTCGTATAAATATCAACGACGCATCACTGATCAATACCGAAAGTCCGAAACTAAACTATTTCCATTTATGCACTGGAATAGATCAAGTCGATTTCCATTTATACATCGACTTGATCTATTCCAGTGCACTTGATAATTGTATAATAGCGATGAATGGAGCTGTAGCGTAACGTAATCTACTGAGCTGTCTGGAGCTTGCATCCGAAGGACTGACCCCATGCAGGACGTCCCAATATGAAATTCGTACCCGCGACACAAGGACCAACTCCTTTCTCTGCGATTCTAAAGCACTGAGACTCTTTTTATCATTGCACCACGTTAGTGACGTTGTTATAATGACCTTATTAGCAAATCAAATATAACATCACTGCAAGGGTCGTGTTCGACTTAAGTTTCGTGAATACGTTTTTGTACTAAATTTGACTAAAGAATAGTCTGTCTACTTGATCAATCATACGGCTCACAGCAGACGTGACCGGTGTACCAGTGAAAACTGTCGCTAGTGCTCAGTGTCGCTCTAAAAAAAGCGGTAGCCTTGCAATTCAGCACTCGTATAATTAGACCCAGAGAAAGTTGTAATCGCCTTATAAAGACGCAATTAGTGATTAAAATGAAGTAAAATCGAAGTAATAAAGTTCCAAGACTGTTAAAGAATTCTGGTTTTTTGAATATTTTCAGAAAAATCTTGAAAAATAAGTGTTTGACATTCGACGCTATTGCATCGCGATCGGCATCTGATCTGGGCTTTCATATGATACTTCATCTCTAAAATTACATAAGAAGAAGGGCAATATATGACTAATTTAATTAAATATTTTTTTAATTGACTGAAAAAAATACTATTTGGGAAAAGAAAGCGACAGCAGAAGTGTACTATAAACTGTTTAATGTTTTTAAACATCGAGATCGGCATCCAACTTAATCAGCTGTTTGCACTCGAGTCAGTCGAGAGAACAAATTATGATTAGTAAACTCGCAATCAAAACCGATCTATTGTAAGTAAGACAGTATTTTAACAAGATAAAATAAAAATAATTATCGTTTGTTTCGTCGATAAAAGTAATGCAAGACACAAGTAAGGTTAAATTATGGTCTCGCCACTTGCAACCAGTATAGAATACTTCAAATAAAGTTGCGACGCGAATTTCCTCTATTTATTGTGGTTTTAATGTGTCTATAATGCTGAAAAGTTTTTTTTATTGTACACAAAGACTAATGTGGATTTTCCCTATGAATGTTTAGGTGTTAACATTCTCTGTCATAAATTAAAAACTGAGCAGTTTTCAATCAATTTTCATCATACATATAGTTTTTGGTTAGATGAGTTCTGTTCACATTGATTCATTATATGTTCAATGATGATCCATGATAGGTGACATTCAGTAAGATGCGTCGATTTAACCAAAGGGACTTAATTATGATAAAAATAGTAATATCATTTATAGTGATTTAGCATCTTTTTTTTTTGAAAGTATGTGTCGTGGGAGGGGGGCTTTCAAAGGTGTTGCTAACACCCGGCTTTCAATGAACATTTTTAATACAGTAAAACTAAAAGTTATGTCTGGAAAATAGTTGGGGGGGGGCAAGCCCCCGGCCCCCTGTTGCTACGTGACTGATTTACTAAAAAAGAATAAATTTGTGAAATTTTCTGATTGGTAAACTTGTATATTTTAAAATAATTTGCTTAAATGTCATGAATAAAGTAAGTTTTTTTGATACAATAATTTGAATGTTTGTCATAAACACAAAACACATTTATTTCAATAGCCATTATTCTGAATATTCAACAATATAAATATCTAAATGCAAAACTAAATAATTTTTTTATATATATAGATGCATTTTAGTTTTGATATAAAGTCTACAGAAGTCCATTTGAGTCACCTTTGGCTCCATTTGGGTAAATCGACACACCGTTCAGTAAGATGCAATGTCACTGAAATATTGTTAATGTTGGGATAGACAGTTCATTTTCATTACAGTGATGATAAACTTAGATTTATAACTTCAAACATCTATCAGTGTCTAGAGTCCACACACAATATAAAATTATATATCATACAAAGAGATGAAACCAGATAGTAAAGTGAAAAAAAACATCTTGCATATGCACTACAATGCTAGACAAGCTACCAGTAAGACAACTCTCAATTATAAGAACTTGCCCAGTATTTGAAGACAAAATCACTTAGTTTGGTAGATATTTTATGCGCTACTTAAGCAAGCAAAAATTGACATCATATTTTGTGGGGAAAAAATCAGAGAATTCTAAATACATGTATTTGTCACTTGGTAGCTTACATTTTAGAATCGCTTAATTAAGAAATATTTACATTTGCAAATGTTTTCCTTTATATAACACTACTGAAGGCAAGCGTTTTTATAACTGTGTAAATACAGGTATGGGGTCAAGAGGTCATAGATGTGCGTTTGGATAAACGTTCGACGTAATTTCTCTGTGACGTCATAAAGGGTCAACGCGCGTTTAGTGGATTACATACATGCCGTTGGGTTTGAAAAATTAACGCATTTCACACGTTAAAAGTAACAATCAGGCAAACATAAAGTATGAATAAGTCACAAATGTAAATATAAGTAGTAAGGTATCATTTTTTGAGTTTTATTGAGATGTAAAACGGGTTGGCACATGATCAAATCTTCCATAAAGCCCTTCGGGCTTTATGGGATTTGATCACGTGACCAACCCGTTTTACATCTCAATAAAACTCAAAAAATGATACCTTATTTCTTAAGTAAAACAGATTGGTCACGTGATCAAATCCCATAAAGCCCGAAGGGCTTTATGGAAGATTTGATCATGTGTCAACCGGTTTTACATCCCAATATAACTCAAAAAATGATACCTTATTACTTATATTTACACTTGTTGCGATGTTTTTGCCCACAACGAGTTTCCATACATTCCTCTTTTTTGACCTAGATAAGCGCTTCAGTTAAAATGACGTAACAAAAATAGTTCCAAGGTAGTGCAACTATTTATTTAACACTGATTAAAAAAATAAACAGTTGTTTAAGTCACATTTACAATATATTATCTAAAGAAGAAAAATTACAAGAGAATTAATGTGTATTATAAGAAATACGAATAAAACTTTGCGGAGTGTCACTACTTCCGTTGGCGTAAAGAGGTCGCAAGGCGTCTATTTGAAGTTGAAAACACACTGGTTGAAAACGGACTTGGAGAGGAAATCAGACGACATTCTGGTGCTCACAGAAGAACTAGCATCGAAAGAAGGATGATTTTCATTCGGAACGGGGGAGAAAGG